GCTAAAAAGGAGGGATGTGTTGATTTTAAACAATGTAGTAATTTTGAACATATATTCTATACTAATCCTTACACTGTTTTTGACTCAACTGGAACTCAGCCTCTGTAGTATGAGATTTACTGTGCTTTCACCTTGGGTCATGCCAAGGGCCTGCTGCACAGGTGATTCAGTGCAGACAGGGCTAACTTTTCCGCTGTGTGAGCTAACGTGTAACATAAACGGTCTCCTCCATTCACATTCTAAATCTCAGCCCATTACACCTCAGCTTGTCCCATGATCTGGACTCCTCTCTGAACCAGTAGCATTTGCCCCAGACAAGTGATTCAGTGCAGACAGGGCTAACTTTTCCGCTGTGTGAGCTAACATGTAACATAAACGGTCTCCTCCATTCACATTCTAAATCTCAGCCCATTACACCTCAGCTTGTCCCATGATCTGGACTCCTCTCTGAACCAGTAGCATTTGCCCCAGACAACTAATTATTCAGACCGAGGATGGAGGCAGGGCAACCTATTGCCCTGCCTTCACCAATCTCTCTAATGTCAGAATAAAGTGGCTTAGTTATAGAAAGATGTTGACCCTTCTCCAGTATATATGTCCAGCTTGCCCTTGAACAGTGCAAGGGCTGGGGCACCCCACTCTGCCAAGGTGAAAATCTGCTTGTAACTTAGACTCGGCTCTCTGTGCCTGAGATGACTCTGTATCCACCGTTCTCCACCTGCGCTTTCAACCAACCATGGATAGTATTTACTGTGAAAAAAGTCCACATATATGTGGACTCATGTGGTTCAAACCTGCATTATTTAGGGGTCAATTCTCATACAGTTTGACCTGAAAACAATTCGTAGTTTTTTGGAAACTAGATAAAACGATTTTGAATTTCACATGGAAAAAATGATTGTCAAAGAAATAACTGATGACTTTTTTAAAAAAATGAGTAAAGAAAGAAGACTACCTCTCCTAGAAATAGAAATTTATATGTGAATTTATATATATGGTTTCCCAGATGGTTCGGTGGTAAAGGACCTGACTGCCAATTCAGGAGACACAAGAAATGCAGGTTTGATCCCTTGGTTGGGAAAATCCCCTGGAATAGGAAATGGCAAGCCACTCCAGTATTCTTGCCTGGAGAAGCCCATGGACAGAGGAGCCTGGCAGGCTACAGTCCACGGGGTCGCAAAGAGATGGACATAACTGAGGGACTGAGTACACAGCACATGCACATACATATACATATATTAATATTCTACATTAATAACATACATACAAGATTAATATTCTTGCTGCACAAAGAACCCATGCCAGTTGATAACAATTCTTCAGACAGTGTCTTCTGACACTACTCTGAAGAGGAACCACAAGTCACCAACATTTATTTCAAAACCATGATTAGATTCAGTCACAAAAGATTAACTTAAAATATGATGGCCATCTGACAACTGGCAAAAAAAAGAAAAGATTTTAAATGGCACTATCTAATTGGGATGAGAGGGAAGTGAGATTGAGGCCCTTGTACACTTGTGACTCAACAATTTGGCAGTACAATCAAAACATGGATGCACCTTAACCCGGTATTGCCACCTCTGGCAATCTGTCATAAGTCAGCAGCCTGAGTGACCGATTGTTCTTGCCCTGTTTGTCATCCCTCATTCCAGATTTCATTTTTTTCCTGATAGCTGCCTTGCCTGCTAGGCTGAAAGCGTGCTGGGAAGGGATGTCTGTTTTCTTCACAGCAGGACTTGGCATAGAATAGGTACCTAGTGTGAGTTCAGAGTGAAATTCAGCCACAGTAAAAAAGGGAAAAGCTTGATTGTCCAACAATGAGAATGGGTAAATAAATTTTCAGAAAGCATACAAGGGGAACCATTAAAACGATGTGCATAAAGTTTCTAATAGAATGGCAAATTGTTCACAGTTTGATAATAAGGGAAAAAAAAGAATACAAAATTAATATACAGTATGATTTCAACATGTAAACACTCAGCAAGAAAAAATCTAAATCTATCATTTATTTTAAGATATACCATTATTATACTGTTATTTTCACATACCACTGAGAATAAAGAAATGCCCACGATGCTGCATCTAATATGATATTGTCTACATGGCTTTGACAAATAAACCTCCCATGTAGAGATGCCTGGGCAAGGGAGCTTGCTTGTCTCAACTTTGTCACTGGGTGCAGAGAAGAAAAAAAAAAAAAATCTCACCTAAGAATTATAAGGTAGGGCTTGCATTAGCTTGCATTTTGAATTCACACTACCAGCGTGGTCCAAACATCCAGCAGAGAATTTAACTCAGAGCAATTTAACTCAGAGCATCAACCCAGGTCGATGTTGCCTCAGATGGCTGCAAAAACAGACACACATCTCCCCTGTGAGACTTAGACCTCAGCAGGGCTGGCAGCATTTATAAGCCACCATAGCAATCCTAACAAGTGAAAAATTTTGCACCCTACAATTGATGAGATAAGACTAAACAAAATCTTAACAGGGGCCAACTCAGTGGTAAGATGATAGAGCAAAAATACTTTAATATATCTTATAGACATTGTATTTTTATATATTATAGATACATAATAAAGATATGTTTTATGTAATGTGTTTTACATAATGTAGACGTATTGGTATTGGGAAAAGTAAAATAATTTCATTTAAAATTTGAGATATGTGGGATTCTAGGGGAACTCATTAAAAAATTTAACATTGGGACTGGTGGTCTAGTGACTAAGACTCCATGTTTCCACTGCAGAGGGTGTGGCTTCAGTCCCTGGTTAGGGAATGAAGATTTTGTATGCTGTGTGGCTGAGTGCCAAAGAATTGATGCTTTCAAACTGTGGTGCTAGAGAAGACTCTTAAGAGTCCCTTGGACAGCAGGAGATCAAACCAGTCAATCCTAAAGGAAATTAACCCTGAATATTCATTGGAAGGACTGATGCTGAAGCTGAAGCTCCAATACTTGGCTACCTGATGTGGGAAGTCAACTTATTAGAGAAGATCCTGATGTTGGGAAAGATTAAGGGCAAAAGGAGAAGGATATGACAGAAGATAAAATGGGTGAATGGCATCACTGACTCAATGGACATGAGCTTGAGCAAACTCCAGGAGATAGTGAAGGACAAGGAAGACTGCTGTAATCCATGGAGTCATAAAGAGTCGGACATGACTTAGAGTCTGAACAATGACAACAATGTTACGTGACGTCACCAGAAAATAAAATAAATTTAACATTATCCTCAGGTCTGTGAATGTTACAGATCTTTATTTCTTCTTGTCTTTAACACTAGTTTCTCAGCAGTTCTATTCCAATAGCTAAGTTCAATTAGTTCCCTTCCTATCATCTTGTGAAATTCAGTAGACACAGAAAAGATAAATCTGATGGTCAGGTACAGAGCCTCTTTCATACTGTGAATGTATTAAGCAGGGTGTCATCAGCATCATTAAGATTTTTGAGCTCTATGTGCAAGATATTAGATTAAGCCTGGTGGGAGGGGCAAGTTGTACAGAGGCTTAAGTCTCTATTTTCATTCATTTACTTAGTTGACAAATATTTGTTGAGCACCCATTATGCAGGGCTTCCCTGGTGGCTCAGTGGTAAAGAACCAATGCAGGAGATGCAGGTTGGATCCCTGGGTGGGGAAGATCCCCTGGAGAAGGAAATGGCAACCCACTCCAGTATTCTTGCCTGGGAAATCCCATGGACAGAGGAGCCTGGCAGACTACAGCCCATGGGGTCGCAAAAAGTCAGACGTGACTGAGCACTCACAGGTCTTAAGAAGGACATGATGGCTGGTGAGCTAGACCTCCTGCTTAAATGAAGATTGGAAAAGCTGCTAGATTTAGGGTGTGAACATTTTGGTCTTCTGTTTATACAGAAAATCAATTGGGATGGAGATTATGAGTTTATTTCCTAGTATATATACACAACTTGAGGGTATTAAAACTAGGGGATTCTGGGTGGGGTGAGTCCACACAAAATAACAGAATAAGGAAGTCCCTCCGGGGGAGAAAAGAAAGTCAGACTAAAACTGATGGCTTTGGGAATGGATTAAAGATATTCTATGAACCCCCATTTTCTATTTAGAAGTAACATTTTGAATGCCTCAACCCTTGGGGTAAATCTGGTGGTTATGTCATCAGAGGAGGTGGGAAAATAGGAATAGTCATTAATATAATGAGAAAGAATGAGATGAGGAGAGAGACTTGTTCAGACACCCAGTTTCTCCACGCTTCAGGACAGCCTGAGGTTTTTGCTTGCCCTCAGGACCCAGTGGATTTGTTTACTAGTTGTTACCCAGGGGGTGTTGATGAAGGGTCATATTTATGAGCCAGAAGGGCAGTGATAACACGATCTAAACCCTCTTCCCAAGGAGATCATCAGTGATAACCCAAGGCTGCTGCTTTCAGCCCAAAATTCAGAACAAGACAGAATCCAGGCAGTATTCTACCCTAAAGAATAGGGACTGCTTTCCTCATGGCCATTATTTAGTTCAACCTCTCCGCCGCCCCCCGCACCACCCCCTTTCCAAGGGCAAGTAAGGGACCATTCATCACTCTCTGTAGAGACTAAATCACTGCAATGGATGGCGCCCCAAGCAGGGTCCAGGAAGACCAGCGTCAGGCACTCTCCAGCCTATTCAAGGGCACACCGACAGGGTGATACACACACAACTGCTCCAGGCCGGACACCAAAGCCCACAGCTTCAGGGGATCAGGCCACATCCCAGGTGCAAACAACGCGGACAGCCGCGGCTCCCCTCTTCGGCTTCACTCGCAGCACGGCGGGAGCTCTGGCCGCACATCGGGAGTTATGTAACACCTATCTCTCACGGTCTGCATGTCCNTCAGGCCACATCCCAGGTGCAAACAACGCGGACAGCCGCGGCTCCCCTCTTCGGCTTCACTCGCAGCACGGCGGGAGCTCTGGCCGCACATCGGGGGTTATGTAACACCTATCTCTCACGGTCTGCATGTCCAGGGGACTTTCAAAATAATGGTGGAGAGTAGCAATTCACGGCGGTACGGTCATCCCACGGAATCCTAGGTGAGAAGACACAGGTAGACAGATGCAAGTGGCTGCGCGTCCCGGTCACCGCACTTTTCCCCATCTCGGAGCGCGCAGATGCATCCGTGAAATCTCAAACCCGGCACGCAGTTCCGCGAAGCCGGGTAGAGAGGAACTCCTCGGGCGGGATCGGCACTCAGCCGAGCGGGGTGGGAGGGCGCTGGGCGCGGGGCGGGGCNGGGCTCGGCTAATCGGTTTCTCCCGTGAAGAGGAGGAACGCCCCTCCACCCCTCCAGGTGAATTCCTTCGGAAACAGATCGTCCTTAGCCTCCACGTTCTCTGCTTCCCGCCCTCGCTCCCCATCCCTCTCCGCCTGGTAACTTTGTGAGCGCCCAAGTTCAGTCTCTCTGACGGCATGATTTTGAGGAATTAACGCCTGGAGCATTAGGGATGGCACGGAGGGATTAAGCTGGAGACGGATTAAAAGAGAAACCTCCTCGGTAGGCTCTTTGCGGGTGTGTTCGGAGAGTTAAAGGGTGATCTCGCCTAATCCTTAGCCTAACCATCCGGTAAGGAAGTGTGCGTTTTACTGGTGAGCGAATTCCTGGGGTTCAAAAGTGAAGGCGTTAGCTTGTTCAGTCGCTAATACCTCCCTCGGAGAGCCTCAGGTGGTCGGGGAAGGGCTCTGCCCTCAGGAGTGGAGGGAGGAGAGCTCATGGGTCTGAAAAGTGTTAGTCGCTCAGTGGTGTAGGACTGTTCGCAACCCCACGGACCTGAGCCTGCCAGGCTCCTCTGTCCATGAAACTGGGGTTAAGAAAACCCAGATGTGCCTTTCTGTTCTCAGTCCACTGAAGTTGCTGGAATGTGGAGTGCCTAATTATGTGGACTGTCAGCTTTTTTCTCGAGTTCCCTAACTGGTCCTCCAAGGATGAGCTGTAGAAACCTTTCTGAAAAACTTGATAGGGTGCGATGGAGTGAAAGGAAAAGGAAAAGGGGTGAGGATCTTGGGAAGTCAGAAGATGGGCAGGCCCAGAAAGAAATAGGAACAGCTGTGGGAAGACTAGACCTTTCTGACTCCTGGCGATTCCTTGGCCCCTTCCCTGTGGTTTTCAAACTTTTTTGACTGTGACCCAACATATGAAATTCATTGTACATACCAATCAGTTTGCTCCATACATACATATGTAACTGAAATTAAAGTTTCATCAAATAGAACTAATCCCTTTTACATGTAGTACATACTGTCATTTTCTATTTTTTGTTTTTTAATGCTCATCACATAGGCTGCTTAACTGACATATGGTTGGGACTCCCAGACAGGAAAACTGTTCTTTTTTGACCGAAGTAACCTTTATCGCTAGAGAAAAACATACTATTTTGTAACTCATATTCCTGCAGTAAATAGATGTGCGCCTCAGATTCTTTCTGAAAAGCGTTTAAGAGTAACTAGAAGAAATGGAGAGGGAGCATTCACAGGGTCTGACTTAGCAGTGGTCACACTGGTGGTAGAGATGAGAGGGGAAGATGAGGAAAAAAAAGAAATTTCTGGGCTAACCACAGGTGGAGTTAATAATACTGAAAAGCACCTCAGCTGGGCCCCACCCCCTGCCTTGTTAGTCACAGCTGGTGAGCATGGTTTTGTGGGTATATGTGTAAGTATTTGTGTGTGCAGACACACGTACATGAGTGTGTATTTGTAATGGCTTTCGGATTAAGATTAGTGTGGAAAGAAGGGATTTAACAGGCATTTGGACACTTGCTTTGTGTAGGCATTTTACGATAATGGTGTTTCATTTAATTCTCACCACCATTCTAATTGGATGATCATTTATACCCCATTTATACATGAGCAAACAGAACAAAGATGATTAATTTGGAAATATTAACTAGCTGATAAATAGGTGGCTGTGAGTCTGGTTGTCTTTAAAGTATATACAACATGACCTGAACATCTGCCCTGGTAACTTTTTGTCTTAACTGTGAGCAAAGAGGGGAAAGGATGGGAAGGAGCTGGGTGGGCAGGAGACAGAGTGTGTTTTTAATTATGATTGATGGTTTTGGTTTTGTTTTTTTTGGAAAGCTGCTGTTTCTTGCCCATAATTCTCTTTCCTCATCTTCCTAGTTCCAAATTGCACTTTACTTTCTTTAAAAAGAAAAAAAAGAAGAAGAAAATCCTGATAGTATCTGTATTGAGTAAAAATTGTGTGATGAAGCACCTAGAAGTAAAAGATGGGATGAATGAATGCTCCTGGGGTTCCCGGGACCACAAAGGTCAACACTGGGGTGAGGGCCTCAGAGAGCCTGTGGTGTGTCCCTTGTGTGAGGGTTGGGGGAGTCTCGGTCTGAAGAGGTGACGCTTGGGCCCTCGGATGCCCGGGGAGTGGCAGACGTCACTGGGGCCAGGCTTCTGTCTCCCAGTTTTAGTTGAGTGTCTCCACCTTTATCCTGCTATGGAGGCAGGTCTGCTCTGTGTTGCTGTTTAGTCTTGGTCCACCAAGACTTTTGCCTTCCTAAACCTATGATACCCAAAGTAGTAAAGTGAATACTGGCTTCTTTACCCAAATCAGAACACATCACAGAAGTCCTTACATAGGAGGAACTGTCGTCTCTATGACTGCCCATCTGCGCCCCATGTCTCCCACTGTGTCCTCAGCGTCCTCCCCTCGGAACTTCCTCCCTTGTCCCCAGACTTCCCCAGGCGCTTACTGCCCAGGCCGTGGGTATTTCATTCATCTTCCCTCCTGCTGCAGGTAACAGCACGTTGGTGGGTGTGCCTGCGAGAGTACGAGAGGGATGGGCAGGAGAGAATCCACCCCTGTGGGTCATCTGTCAGGGCCTGAGTGGTCTGTGTGCTGAAAGGGAATGAGAGGGAGGAGCGGACCCTGGTTACACGCGCGCGAACACACATACACACACACACTTGGACGGATGAGAGGGAGGAGGGGACTCTGGTTACACACACACNCATCTGTCAGGGCCTGAGTGGTCTGTGTGCTGAAAGGGAATGAGAGGGAGGAGCGGACCCTGGTTACACGCGCGCGAACACACATACACACACACTTGGACGGATGAGAGGGAGGAGGGGACTCTGGTTACACACACACACACACACACACACACACACACTCTCTCTCTCTCTTGGACAGAGGATGCTCAGTGATTCTCAGACTGCTATATGGGAATAAGAGAGTATATACTTTTGGATACAGGTTTGGGGTTGAGCATCTATAGGAAGAATCAGAGAAGAGGGGAGGGGCATAAAGACTGTTATTTTCATTGGAGCTTCGGTTTGATTACGGTTGTTGGGTCCGTAGATGATGTGAGGACCAGGGCTTCAGGGTCAGGAGAGGTTCAGGCCCCCTGTCTCTGACATGCACTCTAGCTGCCTCCTCTCTGTCTCTCTCACACACACTCACTCGCTGACACACTCAGTCTTTATCTGGAGCAGGGAGTCCCTGGGATGGTGGTGGTGCCGGCCATCTGGGCTACAAAGCTGCTATTGAAAGCAGGCCCAGATGCTGACTCTGCGAGCCGGGTGGGAGAGATTGGCAGCCAGAATATTGCTTTTTTATTGTGTCCAACCCATCATTTAGAGCTTTGACTCTGTTCTTTGGGTCTCTAGGAACTAAATTTTCTTCCTCTGCCTAATTAAGGGAAAAGGTAATGTCATGCTTGGAAATCAGCCTCCCCCCTCCCCAACCCTCTCTATGAAGGTGACATAGCAGTCTCGCCGTGCAACTGCGGGCTTGTGTATGGGCCTGAGGCAGGTAGAGCTTTGAACCTATGGTGGATGATACCTGTGATTCAGCCTTGCTGGACTGTTTGTTTGTAAGAGATCCACTTTCCACAGCTCCATTTTCCGCAGTTATTTTGTGGGTGTCTGGGGGAAGTTCCTGTGTGTGTGTGTGTGTGTGTGGATGGCTGAGGGGTAGCACACGGGCCGTGGTTTATAGGATGTATTTTTCCTTTGTTCTTCCTGATTAGGGATGCATTACCTCTTCCTCCCTCAACCTCTAGCCAGTGCCTCAGTTACATCTAAAACCCTTATTTAATTTAGTGCATCTAAATGCTTCAAATGACTATAGTATTTAAAATCACTCACATGCACAAGTTTTAACCTCCATACATTCTCCCTACAGTCAACAAAACACAAGCTATTTTCTTTTTAAAAACGGCAACACGGAGGCCTAGGGAGACAGGGCCAGGTGTGGCGTCTGAGGTGTAACTTGGAGGGCTGCCCAGGTCATCTGACTCGTGCAAATAATAAATGGCTCCAGCCACTGGTGGGAAAGTGATAGAGGAGAATGACAGTGGAAAATTTGGAGTGTAGTTTTGAAACAGGAAGAGCAGTCCTAAGGATGGCCGGCTCATAGAGGCCAAGAGAAGGCTGGTCCTGATAGCCAAAGCAAGCAAGCCTCTTCTAGTGATGTAATTTGGCCATGGCCTTTCTCTCTACTTTCGATCAGAAGTCAGTGGATTACAACTGGTAGATTTCTTTAGTTCCCGTATTGGCAGACTCTTTCCCAGGCTGTTGGTGATTCACCTACTTGCGGTTTTCAGGGAGAAGTCAGTTGGTGACCATCTGCTGTGACTTCTGTTTCTTCTCTTGAAAGCTGATGGAGACTCGAGTAGGAGGGGAAGTCATAACACCCACCGTTTACCCAGTGCCCACCGTGGACCAGGAATTATCCGATCCCTTCAGCAGCATTCGCAGTCATGAGGCAGACAGAGGCACAGGGCCGTGAGGTCATCTTAAGTCACAGATCAGCGGTGGGGGCAGAGCCCAGAGGCAGGCTGGCTCTGCCTGCATCCAGTGTCTGTGGTCCTTCCCTCATCACACCACACCACTGCCTGGTGCAAAACAATACAGCGTCCGTGAAATGGAAAGTTTCTTCCATGTAAAATTAATGCATTGGAATTCAGCCATGGATGGGCATATGGCTGACTTGAAATCACCGGGATTAATTTCTTCCTGCCTCGGGTTTCTTTATGCTGACTCTTTCTTCCTTGGCTCTGATAGAATCTTATCCTAGGTGATG